AGAGAGAGAGAGAGAAACACGGAAAGCGATTTCACGGTGATCATGATTCGGAATTAAGAGTATTCAACCTGGGCAGCGTGACATGTCATTTCATTATTGCACGCGCGAGATTCAAAGCCGCGATTTGATTGTTTATAAAGCGGCGATGCAAGGGCGGAAAATTATTATCCCACGCGCTTTCATAGGATTACAGATTAATAGATTAGATAGTCGGACATTTACGGACACATCCGAGCCCGCGAGATATTGAACTCGCCGTTATATCGGCGTCATATCCAAGCGTAGATTAGATTGGGCGCGTATTTATGGAATGTACAGACTGTCAGATTTTTCCTCTGGAAAATCGTGAAAAATCGTCAAACACCACGATGACGCGTCATCACTTTCGGCCTTGTCGATCACGTTACGAGGGCGGGCGCTAATAACGTTAGCGAATATTGCGCCACTATTTCCGATTGTCCCGCATCCAATCGTATCTGTACAACGATGGTTCGACGTGCGGAAATGTTCACCGGCTGCTGCTCTCGTCCTGAGAATGGTCTCGCCGATGACAACGCTCCGGAATGCAGATAACGGGGCGCGATAACGTGCGCGAAGGGATTCTCGCAGGAAATTTCTTCGCTGGATTCCTGATTTTATATTCACCGAACGACTCGATTTACGTTTCTGCCTAGGCGCGTTTCTGATTTCCAAACGAAGCCTCGAGCCGAAAACGCGAATCTTGAAAGATCACGAGATATTATAATTTCACGGACAATTTGGAAATTTAAAAATTTGATCGGATGTAGATCTGAAAATAATTTTGTTGGGCTATCAAAATTATTATGTAGAATGTTTAAGCACGAAAATAATATATTGCAAAGATTTTTTATCTTCTAGCAATCAATTTGAATGTCGTACAAAATAATTTTAAAGGTCCAACGGAATTATTTTAATTATGTATTTGGTTACATTTTTAAATTTGTCAGCAAATCTGTTCTTTCTCTGTTGAGACAAGCAGTTTTTGATTTATATCAATGACTTAATATATTCATTGCCGCTAAGAAGATTAAGTTAATGAGGCGCTTAATCCTCTTCAGTTCTATGGAGTAAAAGAAAAAGAATACTAGCTAGGCGAATATTGGATGCCGGTTGAAATCGTTCCATTATATTTCGTAAACTCGTGTTAAACTCAAGCGAGAAAAAAATATGAATGTTTAAAAATCGATAAATAGTGAACAAGTGGCCATTTATTTTTCAAAGAAAATACATAATTAAATCTTCCATCTAATTCGCATTAATATACATAGCGTATTAATTGATTTCACTAACCATTCGTGTCAATAATGAAAGCGACAAATGTTTCGGGCTACAAATGGGACTGCAAATATTTACATCATCTTGACTATGTTTATAATTAATCTCATATACAGAATGAAATATGTAAAGCTAGCTTTACTAGCTAAAAACAGAAATATTAGCAAATATCATGAGCTCGCGAATGTTTTAGACACCAGAGAGAGAGAGAGAGAGAGAGAGAGAGAGAGAATGTATTCATAGTAAATTACAAAAGAACC